AGACATTGCGGAAGAGGTTACCAAGTTCATGAGGACCGACCCTGAAGACCCGCTTTGGATCTCTCTCCTCCACTGCCTCGAGTCCCCAGATCGTGCCCACGTCGTCCGGGCGCTCTGGGCGCTCACCCATTTCTCCACTGAAATCAACGATTCTGAGGGTAACCAAGCCTTGGAACGCATGCCTAAACAATCCCTGCAACAGATGTACTTCCACACGCTTCTGGACTTGGACAAGGATATCCTCAGCGGAGCGTTGGACTTTTGGTACCAGTACACGCTTTCCCGCGAGAACATCGAGACCATGCTTGACATCTTCGACTTCCCAAGCGTGTTCGTTCCGCGAATGATCGCCTTATTAACCCATGAAGCGCGTCCCAGCAAGAAAGAGACAGTTCTGCAAGAGGAGAAAGTCGCACCGCCGCCATCCGAGATCCCTCGTGTGCCGGCAGAACTACTGAAAGATCTCATGGAGCTACAAGAGCCGGAACGTAGCTCACGCTGGCTGCGTTGTTGCTTCGTTGAGGATGCAGAATGCGAAATTACTCAAATAGCTCTGTGGCAGGCATACCAGAGCCGATTTGCAGACCCCCGTGTTCCGGGTGGTGGTGTCCTCCCTGCCGCCGAATTCATTAAGAATGTCAGCACGACATTCACCAATGCGCAAGCGCAGGTCATCAACGGCCCTGGCGCGGCGACTCGCTTTATCATCAAGGGCATCCGTCCGTTAGAAACAGCCTACACCTTCCAGGGATTCCCCTACCAATATTGCAAATGGGCCGACAACTCGAAGCCCACCAAAACCTGCCAGCGCGCTTTCACTACTCCTACCGACCTGCGCAACCATGTTTTCGCCGACCACATGGAGCTCAAGCCTACGGACACGCCAGGCCACTACAATCTGGACAATGCCGAATCCCCGATTCACACGTGCCTCTGGGATAACTGCACCCGGTTCCGTTCTTCCGGCCCCAGCAACAATACCGCCATGGTAGCGGGTCATGTGGCATCACACCTGCCTGAAGAGCGCCCTGCTGATGCAGAACCCCCGATCTCCAAGCGCGCTGTACTTCAAGAGCGGATCGTCCGCAAATGGTTCTACATGGATACGCCGGTCAATGAGAGAGCCGAACCCTTCGGTGTGGCCTACAAGGCGGCGTTGGTGCTGCGCAATATCGCCCGGAACTTACCGACCGGCATGGCTCAGAAATACAATGGCCTCTCGTGGAAGAAAGCCGTATTCCTCAGTCACCGGCCGAAGATTGTGGAAACGTGGGACCGTAACCGGTCGCTGCGTAAGGAACTCACTGAGTTGATTATGATAATAGAGAAAGAGGATTACTATTGAAAAATGAACACGTGACATGGGGGCTGCATGCAGTAAGCAGCGAGCCTCGAGCAACGAACGAACTTTCATGTTATCATCTTCTTCATCATCATCATGATCATCTGGCTGACTATTGCATTGCTGAGTTTTCAGTTCATTTCCTTTTACTTTTACTTTGATATATTGTTGTACAAATACCCTGGAATTTTCCTTTTATTTTCTTTTTTTCTCTTCGTGCGATGGTGTGGTGAACTCTTTCCAGTTCAAAACTATTTCCCTTTCCCCGAGCGGGGGGTATACTGAGTCCCAATAAAGTCTCCTTCCTACCTGTTCGTTGTGTATGGTAGTAGTCAGGGCATGACGTTTTGGAGAGTGGAGTTTGATATGATATTCATCCTATTTTCTTGTAACGGTGGTGAGAGGGGAGCTTGATCGGCAATCTGACATGAATTAGGCGTCCGGAATGGGATGGCGGAGGATTGATTGATTGGTGATGGTAGAACTGGTGATGGGGCTGTTGTGTTATCCCGGTTTTTCTTTTCTTTTCTTTTAAGCTTCATTCACAGTATTCTCGTTTCGCTCGCGCAGTCCTTGCTGCTGCATGCCTAGGTTCGACGAGTGTATGATAGGCGGGAGTAGTAGGTTAGGTTGGGTTAGGTAACGGGGTGGTGGGATTAGTTTAATGCTTCCCACAATGACCTTCTTAGACCGAATGTGTGCCATTTGCACGGCTCAGGTTTCATTCCCTCATCATTATATGTTCCCACGTAGTTGTACTCCCTTCGTATATCTATCCTCCGGCTTAAATAGATCGATAGAAAGGAAGATAGGGTGGGTGATTCAGATCAACATTCACCGGTTAATCTCCGGATCATCAACATTCACATAGAAATCCGCAACAAAGTTCTCGTAATTCGCCCACGCCATCTGCATACTTCCTAGTCCTGGACCCGTGTAGCTGAAATCCACCGCGTCCCAGACATTCGGCCACGCAGACGCAGCGACTGCCGCTGCCGCTGCCGCACCATCAAGACTACTGTTCTCAGGTGTGTGCATGAAGTTTTGCGTGTCTATCTGCATAGCCATAGACGGTTGCTGCTCCTGCTCCTTCTGCTGTTGCTGGATAGATAAATCCAGTGGAGAAAACTGCTCTGAGCTGATAGCCGAACCAGGATTGAGGTTGGATGAAGAAGGACCAGAGCCAGTGCCGGAAGAAATAGTAGTAGATGTAGAAAGCAGCTCCCTCCGCCTATCCTTCGCCCTATCCATTAGCTTCACCATAGGTTTCCACAGCATCCCCCGTTGCGAATCAGCAATTATTCTTCCCAGATGTTGGAATGTATACTCGACCGGATCCCAGAAGCGTTCCATGACGGCTTTGTCGTCGCAGACGCAGAGTTCCGCCAGCGCAACAGCCAGACTATGCCATGGTGGGAAGGCGAATTCGATCCATTTGTAGGTAGTGAAACGGGGATCTGAGCGGAGACGATGCGAGGTAGTGAGCACGTTGACGGCGAATTCGAGGAGACGGTCGCCACGGACGAGGGGCGGAGTGAAGTTTGGGGCGCGTTGGAGGGGTCGCAGGGTGATGAGTTGCATTGAGGCGTGGGTGCATTCTGCTACGGCTGTTGTGAGCCAATGTAGGGAATTTGTAGTGGGGGAGGCGTGGGCGAGGAGTTTGGAGACGGAGTGTTGGAATTCGAGGACGAGTTGTTGGCGGATGGCGAGCGTGTTGATGGAAGGTTCCATGAAGTCGGAGAAGTTGAGCGATCGGGTTACGTATTGAGCTTTACGGACCATCATTGTGAAGGTCATGTCTGTGAAGCCCGGGGAGTCGGGTGGATTTGAGGTCATGGTTGGGCTTATGTCAATGTCGTTGACGTTTGCTGGCGGGTGGGATTCTAGCCAGGCGGCTTGCATCATTGGCTCGGAGGCGCGGTCCATTGATGCTTGGACGTCGAGGAAGCCGATGGCAAGCCAGACACGGCGCCGTAGTTCGCGCTCGAAGGGGGTTACGTGGAATGGAGGGTCGGGGATGTGGAGGGAGAGAGCTTGCGCGATGCGTAGGGCCATGCTGAGCATTGTCCACATGCGGCGGCTTTGGTCTTGGGAGCGGAGGGCAAGCTGGAATGGAAGGGTTAGTGGTATGGGTGTAAACAGCGCGGGAGAAAGAACGTACAAGGAAGAGGACGTAGGCTTGTAGGACGGTGAGGTCGTTGGTGGTGATGAAGTCTGCTCGGGCGAGTGCTGCTTCGGCTTCTTTTTGGTACTTTGCTACCATGGATGACTTGGGGATGCCGAAGCAGCGCATGCTCTCTTCGTCGTGGAGACTGCATGAGGCGGCGAAGTACACAGCGTATGCCAGAGCAGTCGGGGCCAGATGTCCTGGCTCATAGTCCAGGTAGGGCTTTCCATCCACGAGGAATTCCTTCACCGAGGGCCTGTGGAGGATCTTGCAGAGCGGGTCTACCCTGTGCATGAATATACAACATAGCTGCTGATGGGCAGGCGAGGGGCCCGGAGAATTGCTGTTTGTAGAGTCATTACCACTTGCCATGGAGAAAAGTCGACGGTAGTTGATTAGGTTGCTGTTCTCAGCATTACGGTGGTCTTCCTTTGAACCACTTTGCTCACTGGGATGTACATCCGGCACCTGTCCAGGAGTTAACTAAGTAAATCAGATTACTGGGTACGTGTAGTCAAGTTTAGCCATGGGCTCACCTCATTCAGGAGACTAGCCCAGAACGAAGACCCCAAATACGTATCAGGAGTCCGAACACGACCGGGCTGCGAGTCATCGTCATCGCCATGCTCTCCATCCGACGAGCCAACCTGTGAGCCTTCATCGACAGCAGCAGCTAGAATAGCCCGAGCGGAGGCCTGACTGCCCCCGCGAGCAAGTTCACGGATGATGCTTTCCAGCTTTGAAACACGGTCCTTCAGGTTCGCATCCTGGTCGCCTGGTCGCTCCGTTGCTGGTCTGCCGGATCTGCCGCGTGGCAGACGTGCCCGTTCAACGGGAACGCATCTCGTTCCGAGACGCTGGCAGTTCGTGCATGGGTTGAGCTTGTCGCATTTGACTTTGCGCTGCCGACAGGTTTCACAGCTCAGACGCACTTTGGGCTTGTTAGTGGAGTGCGCGGACGGAACGTTGCCTGCTTCGTCTGCTGTCTGATCGGGATGATTCATTATTATATGGGCCAACTTTGTGCGAGTGGCCGGTCAAATGGGAAATCATAGACTGCTATTTGAAGTTTACAAAGGCCGAACATGGCTCATTACTGCGAGCCTGGATGAAGAGGTTGATCAATTGAAGGAGCAGACATTTTGGAGAGTGACACGAGATAAGCCGAAGAGCAAAAGGAAGAAGAAGGTAGGATGGATGATTCCTATTGGGCCCAATCCATGGGATGGATCGCCCGTGGCGGCCTCAGGACCCACAATTTCTGCCCTGCGCTTCATTCAAAACTACAATCTACTCTTCTATTTGCTTTGTATGCCTCGGCAAATGTGGTAGTGACATAAACTTGATGATGATGATAGAGATAAATGACAAGCTATCAATTAGGCATCCAGGTATTATCAATCATCGTGCTTGTGCGGGTCCCCAGCATCGACTGAGCGCCCACACATCTACAACAGCAACTACAGCCATCCAACACCGAGTCTAAAGTGTGTCGTAAATATGCAAGGATGCATTGGGAATAAATGACACGTATGGCATGACTACATTAAAGTATGGACCCGTAACCCCACCCATTTTACAATCCGAACCCAATGTCCATCCCTAGGCATGCGTGAGAAAGGAAAGGAAAAAGAGAAAAAGCACGGCACCAAAGCAGAGAATAGGAGACAAGCAAGGAGAAAGCGGCTACAATGGATAAGAACGGAATAGAAATGAAATGACATTAGAAACCTGCCGCTCAAGTCTATTAGATAGACGATAAACACCACAAATATGTGCAAAGAGGCAAAAGCGAGATGGCGCACAGCCCTTACTCCCAAACATTAGAAAATAGATCGTCCGCTCCGCCAAACCCGCCCGCCGGCTTGGAAGGAGCATTAGTGGTGGTAGTCGTAGTGGTGGTGGTCGACGAGATGGGTGCCGCGCTGGCCCATCCGCCAAAGTCCTCATCGGCAGCGACAGTTGGGGCCGGCTTGGAACCGGCCGACAAAGCCGGAGCGCCCCAGCCCGCACCGATATCGTTGGCTGTCAGAGTGTCAGGCACCTTCATCATCGAAGCCGAAGCGGCAGGTGCTGCGGGCGCAGGTTCCGGGGTGCTCCACGCATTACCTCCCCAGGGATCAATGGTACTTGGAGGAAGCACGCTCGCAACGGAGGAGGTGGTGCTAGCCACTGATGGCTTCGGAGCCGGGGCCGGGGCGGGAGCTGGGGTAAGGTTGAAAGCAGACTTCAACTCCTGCTGCGGAGAGGTAGACGTGAATGCCGATGGAGGCGAGACTGCAGCCGGCGGGGCCGGGGCCGGCGAAGAAAGCCCGAACAAGTCGTCAGACAAGGGCGACTTAGGGGGGTTAGGCTTCGGCGGCGGAGGAGACGCAAAGCTGGTGAAACCCGCGTCCAGACCGTTCGACGAGATCGATGCGGTCCGGGACTGCGGCTTCGGCGGGGGAACAGTGGGAGAAGTGAGGCTATCAAACAGACTACCACCTCCACTTCCAACGGAGGCAGTGGGCGAAGACACTTTGGGAGCTGCTGGCGTAGACTTCATGCTGGCAAAGCTCGTCAAGTTAGCGAAAGGTGAGGGTTTCTCGGCCGGTTTAGGGGCCGGAGGGGAAGCGGACGAGGGAATGCTCAGTCCGCTGAAAGCATCGGTCAAGCCGCCCATGTTGGAGGCCGATGAACCCGGTGCGGGGGATGCCAGATCGCCAAATGAAGATGTACGCTCGTGCTGCGTCGTAGCAGGCGGGGGCTTTGAGTATAGCGAAAGAATCGACTGCTTCAGATCGGGCCTAGACATCCCGGTCGAGCCGGTGGGGGTCGAGGCCGTACTAGCTGGGCGGCTGGTAGGAGCAGGCTGAGTGCTTCCGAAGAAGTCCAGACCCAGCAACGAATCCCCGGGACGAGCCGCTGGCTTAGGAGCAGGAGCAGACTGTGGTTGCTTAGGTGGTGCCCGGGGGGTGGGTTCTGTTGTGCTAGGGCGCGCGGGAGGGGCGATATCGTCGTCGGCGAATAGATCGATGGACTGTTGCTGGCGATGGACTGCGGGTTGACTAGACGCGGCCACACGCTGAGAAGCGGAGCGTTCAATCTTCGCTTTTTCTTGAACTACTGCGAGAGGCTTTGACGACATGTGTTAGTCTCATCATATAAGGTTACACAACTCCGGATAACTTACCACGTCGTCGTCGCCAATATCCAGGGTCTTAGGATCGGGCATCGGGCCGTCCATAACCCATCGCTTGGACTCGTACTTAGTCCGGATGAAGTTCTCAATTTTCCTGTTCAAGGCATCCACTTAGCCATGACGCTATGATATTGACCAATATGCGGGGAAGTTATCCACTTACGCTTCCGAGGGGACGTGACCGGGTGCCAGTTTCGCTTCCCAATATCTGCCATGGACAATGAGCTTAAAGCCTGAATACACCCAAAATGCCATGAGATACTAACTTGTTGGCCCTAGCATTTCCCCATCTTACGACACTCTGAAGTTGTTCATCCGTCCATGAGTCGAGGTCGACTGACTTCACCCGACTAATATGGGTGCCCATGCCGCGATGAATGCCCGAGCAACGGATACAGATGAAGATGCCCAGGTTCCATGATGCCCATCTAGGATCTAAGAAGAAATTTATTAGCCAGCGATCGCATAATACACCAGATCATTCACATTGAACGAGGTCTGTGGTGCCAAAACACAACAGGCGTAGGTTTGGAGTTATCCGCGGGGAGTCACTAACGCTTATTGCGCTTGCAATCGGCACATATCTTGTTTTGTTCGAGTTTCAGCAGACTCTTAATGATCTGCTGGTTCTGAGCAGCCTGGGACGGCGTAGCACGTCGAGACATCACAGCTAGGGACGCAGTCCGAGTCGAATTACCAGGGAATGCAACCGGAGAGGAGAGAAAGGAGACGCAATAATAAAGGGGAGTTGAAACGGAGAGACGTCAAGGGCCACCAAGTGGCGGGTTGCGGTGTCTTGTTGGCCTCAGGCATAATAATTTTGTAGGCGGTGGGTTGACCTCCGACCGGCCAGCGGCACGTGCCAGCGATGCCGTTTGATCTAGATTGATTGCCTTTGATTGATTGTATGAGAGTTACCAGTGTCGCAGACAAACAGCGACGATCATCATCTTCTTCATCTTCTTCTCATTTCTTCATCTCTTCGTCATACAACTACAGTACTCTACACCGAAACTTCCCCATTTACCTTCCCACCCCTTTTAGTTCCCCTGACCTTCATCCTCCTTAAACCGCAAACTAACACTATTCACACAATGCCTCTCATCCGTGGGAGTCGAATATCCCTCTCCCTTAAACACATGTCCCAAATGTCCCCCACAGTTGCTACACACAATCTCCGTCCGTTCCATTCCGAACGACCGATCCGTATGTCTTGTAACCGCTCCGGGGATGGAATCAAAGTACGCAGGCCATCCACATCCTGACTTGAATTTATGTGTTGCCTTGTACAACGGCGCGTTGCATCCCGCGCAGTTATAGACTCCCTGGGAAGGGTAGTGGGAATCGTATTCGCCCGTGAAGGGTCGCTCCGTGCCCTTTTGGCGGAGGATTCGGAATTGCTCTTTTATTGACTTTGGTTAGTTCTTTTCATACCAATAGAAAGCTAACACCGTGGAGCAGATGAGGGGCAAGTAGGTAGAAAATGAGAATAAAGGCATACATACCAGGACTTAGCACGGCTTGCCATGCATCATCACTGCGCTGGTCGGGATAGGACATGTTGTTAGACTGGGAGTCGGATTTCGCGCTAGATCCGAATAATGCGCCTAGGAAGGGGATCGTGGGACCGGCTTTGAGGACAGTTGCGCTGGGGATGGGGAGAGGAGGTCGCTGGAGGGCTCGGACGGAGTGCGATCGGAGGGGTAGTGTGATGGTGCGGAGGGCGGGGATCAGGCCCTGGAAGCGCATCGGGGTGTGAATTGATATGGAACGAATTAGTGGGAGATAGCAGATAGGTATGACATTTAGTCACTGACAACAAGAGAGTCTCAAGGAAGAATAGTGAAGGAAGGTTAGTTAGTCGCTTTGATTGAAGGTCGCCGCTGAAGCTTTGATTTGCTTGGGCTTTTACGTCATCCGGACGGAAACACCAAATCTCCCTATCAGCTATCTTTTCTTATATCAATATCGCCTACGATCTATAGAGCACCAGAAGCTAACCTTGTCTTCATCAGATCATCATGAGAATGCCTGTCTTCAAGTCCTGTATGCATGTATGTACAGCAGATGTTATGTACATATAATGTCTAGCAAAAGCGCTCCTTCTAGATTCGCTCTCTCTACATGAACGCCTCCGGGTATCTCGTATGCATCAGCCGCTAAATGGGGACATCAAAAGGGCAACCAAAATCCATCATGCCATGCATCAGCGACGTCGGACAACTCCAACGACGGTCAAAACTCCGGCACCAATCTCCACCCTCCAGCCTTCTCGGGCCAGCATCTTTGCAACAGCCGGGCCCAAGCGTGAAGTACCATCATGACTATGCCGTCCAAGCCCAGTTACAATGCGATAGCCACCCTGAATAGGATCTCTAGCTCCACTTCCACGCGAATATTTGGCATCGCCTAGAGAGTCCCACCATTCCGACACCCGCTCGCTAGCGATCCGCACTGCATCCTGTACAGATACACCATGCAGATCCAGCGAGTTCCATGTAGACTGTGTGTCTACCAGGGCATCGGCGGCAGCAGCGGCATTGCGTTTGGCGCGTTCCAAGTGGTCTCGTCCTACTGCGGAGTAGTAGGCAGCCGCACCTCCCATCAACCGATCTGATTTACCGCGCCGATATGCTACCGATGCTTTTGACAGTGCCTCAGCACCAGCTGCAAAATGCACGCCTGCTGCACTTCTTGCTCGGTTGAGGTCTCGGGTGACCGGCGCAGCGCCTCGTTTCGGAATCTCCTCGTCAACGTCCACTGGTGGGGGTGCTGTGGTGATCTTGATTATCTCAGTTATGGACGGAGCCACGGGGCTTGTCAGCATAGCCGCCGCGAGCTCACTGGCGGCTGATACAGAACTTCTCGTGATTTTAAGCAAGCCGGCAAATGTGAGCGGTGGCACCGACGGAAATTCTTGCGTAAGCTCGGCCACTTGCGTAACCGTCACCGGATCCTCATCGATCTGCTTCTTAGGGGCGTGTGTATCGGCAAGAGCCCTGATTGTAGCAGGAAGTGAGGCCCCATTAGCGTGATAAGTTGAGCGGACGGTCTCCTTTTTCAGTATCGCCGAGGTTCGCGCATGAATGAACTCAACATCCTTTCCCGCAGCATCCCACTTGTTCGTTGTATTCTCGAAACTAGCCTCAGGACTCATGGATGATAGGACCTCTTGTCTTCGGCCATTCTTGTTCTTGGGTTTACGCTTACGAGCTTGCTTCTTGCTTGCTCCCGGGTCATCAAAGCCATCCACCCCCTTAGGGACAGTGACCACCCCGTCCTCATCAGGTACTTGCTCATCAAAGAACGACAAGTTGAGAAGGACGTCCATCGAGCGATCAATGTCCCCATTAGACTTCTTCAACGTGTGCTGGATGGTAAACCGGTCAACTGACGGGAACATCTCAGTCAAATAGCCGATCTTATCCTCTTCATTCGCTCCGGATAGATGGAGAGACCCTTCCGGTCCAATAGTATACGAGACATGGTCCCTGATACCGACCGAAGAGAAGCCCGACGTGAGGCTAGTGACATCTGTCTCCCGCGACCGGTCTCCCTGGGACTCACTAAGCTCAGAGGACCCATCCGCTTCTAGACCATGTCCTGCACCTAAACCGGACGTGCCGGAGGGGTCGAAGGGTAAATCCTCCTGTTCCCATGCAGACAGCCGAAGTGCATCAAGAGTCTCGCGCAGTTGGCCAAGTTGAGCAGAGTCGGTAAGGTCATAGTCGAAGGCGATGGCTGTGAGCAAGGCAGGGTCCAGAGGAGGGCAGTATGTCTTTTCCAGGTCCTACGACGCGATTCGATCTCAGCATCAGCTGTTTACATCCCGTTTGGCACCGGCCATTGCGTTTGTGTTGGCGAAGGCGCGCACAATTTTAGGCAGACTAACCTGTAGCGGACCGTCATCCTTGTCACCCATGTTCGAAATCAACGGTGTGCCAGAAGTATTTGATGTTGAGTCTTTTGAGCATGCCTTAATTAGAGGGGGTACAGGATGGCTAGTGCTTGTTTGCGACACAAGACTGCTCCCTGGCGCACTTTGTTGAGGAATTCGCGATAAGTTGCGCCTGAAGGCGGGGGTGGATGACATAATCATTTCCAATGACTTCAGAGCGATTGGACTAATGGACTATATGAATCAAAAATCGCGTGGGAGATAATAACTAGTATCTAAGCGCGTTCCATTTCCTTCGTTTATTCAAAAATCATGAGATATATCATGATATGGACGCTGTCATGCAATAACTGACAATAAGGATTATGCAGCTTCTGACTCACAATACTCACATTAGACGTCAAAGGATCATCCTTCCCTCAAGACGGCCATTTGTACTTCATGACATTATTTATCGCCCTCTGCTAATGAGAACAATATAACATAGATAAGTTACCCTCTGTCTCTGACTACATGACAGCACACCAAGTATTGGGATCTCGTTAGCGCGAGTCCAGGTATCACACTCCTAGTATACTAAACTAGAAATCCGACCTATCATCGCTCATACATCTAGAAATATTAGTAGCAAGAGTACTAGACCTCTTAAGCCACAAAGAGATATCACTAACTATCTGAAAAATTGTCTGTTCGAGCCTCTTCGCATTGCGCGACTCCATATTACGGGCCATCTTTACAATTACCTCCCACCAAATCCAATGAAACAATCTCTCCACATCGCAATGCCCGTTCGTTAGGCTTCACCCTATCTGAATACCTTACGGGTAATAATCAAGGCCTCATTCTAGCCACCCAACTAGTCTAGCTACTATGGAATCAATAGTAGAGTGATAAGTTGGTCCTGAAAACCGGGCTTAACTGACAGATTTTCCAACATATCCTAGAATCAGCTAAATACCACCCACACCACCAAGTCGTTATTACTCACTACGATGAAATCAACATATGCATAAAACCCTACTCTGAACACCCACAATCCCGCACATATTCGATCCAAAATAAACTAGAGAATATCGAGTGGATCGGCTACCCTCGGCCCCAGAATCCTTTTTCATTCACTCATCCCATCGGTTCCACTCCAGAAATCTGGGTCATTGTGTGGTGGGTGGTCTCCACTTGGACGGCAATTGATTGATGTTTGGGGATGGGCCCGTGGGGTAACTCAACGTCGATGCAAAGTGCACACTATTGAGTGAGTGAGTGATTTATTCGTTCATTAGCAAACTACTATTGCGCGAAAACTGTGACAGACAAACTTTTACTCTACTGCCTCCTGAGACACATTTACGTAAATGATGGCCGTCTGTCTTCGTTTGGGTTACTTAGTTGAGCACTCAGGGAACCGTCGGCATGTGAGGTAGACAACCGAGGAAAGTGGCAGCTTCTCGGATATTAATAGGTTTCTATTTGAAATGTCCGTCTTCTAACAAGAAAATGGTATAGCTCTATATATTCATAACGCGTGCAGCTGGTATACCTACCAGTTCTGCTTACTTGTACTTGGCCATGAACTCCGAGTGGAACTTGACAATCCGCTCAACCCAGTCGGTTCCAGGGGCCAAGAAGGTCGTACGGAAATGCAGGGTGTTCTCCTTCTGGCCGAAACCAGAGCCGGGAACGACGCAGACACCGGTGGCGTCAAGGAGACGGAGGCAGTAGAACTCGTCGGCGGCACGGTTCTCAGCCTTGGCAGCCTCGACGGCCTTGGGGGGAAGGGTGATAGTGGGGAAGAGGTACATGGCGCCCTGAAGTCATCGGTTAGTGAACTGTCCGTAGGATAATCTACTGTCCAGAGTTACATACCTGGGGCTCCTGGCATTCAACACCCTCCATGCGCTGGAAGGCTTCGTACAAAGCAAAAGCGCGCTTGCGCAGACCGTCACGAATGCCATTGTACTCCTTCTCGTACACGGCACGGCTGGGCTCACCCTCCTTGGGAGGGTTCACCATCAGCTCGACCAGGCACTGGCCGATAACCGGCGGGCAGAGCATGATGCTGACGTACTTGTAGACTTGGGCCGCAACTTCGGGGTCGAATCCGACCAGCTCAAAGTAACCACCACGGTGACCACACTCACCAACCATGCCCTTGGAGACACTGTGCAGGGAGGCCAGCTCCACGCTGTCGTACTTGCCGGGCACTTCTTGCTGCAGCTGACGGAGTCTCTTCTTAAAGGAGATGAACTCGCCAGTGAAGACGTTGGTCTGGTAGACTTCGTCCGCAATGACCACCAGCTTCTCCTCCGCAGCCAGGTCGAGCACACCCTTGATGTCTTCAGCACTGAGGGAAGCACCGGTCGGGTTACCGGGGTTGATCACAACAATGGCACGGACATCGGTGCCAGCAGCCTTGGCCTGAGCAAGGTTCTCACGGATAGCATTGACATCGGTACCCCAGGCCCTGTGCTCCTCCAGGTGGTAAGGAACGCATTGAGCGTTGAGGAGGGACAATGTAGCAGTGTAGAGAGGGTATTGAGGAATGGGCACAAGGACACCAGCACTAGGGCCATCGCAGATGACGTTCAGAAGAGTGCTCACACCGGAGGAGGCACCACCGGTCAGGTACAGGTCCTGGGGGTTGGCGGGAAATCCATCACGCTCCTCGATGAATTTGGCGACGCTGTCACGGATGATAGGGGCACCCTGGCTGTGACTGTAGGCACCGACGCTCTGGACATCGGCGAGAAGGGTCTTGGCCCGGTCAATGACATCCTGCTGGTAGCCGAACGACGTACGGAGAGCCTCGGGGTTCTCCAACAGGGAGGGATTCTCAAGAAGACTGAGGACCTGACGGAAGAAGCTGATGGGCTTCTGGTCCAGTTGCTGAGGGTTGCCAATGTTGGCGAAGATGACACTGTCGAAAGGCAACGACTTGTCTCCCTGAGCCAACTTCACACGGTATTCCTCGGCCTTGACGGCCAGCTCACCACGGACGGCATATTTGGCGGCCTTGACGTGGGGGTTGATGTTGTCCAAGTTGAGACGACCGCCGGCGGAGGCGGTCAGGGTGCGCTTAGCAGTGAGGGTAACGGTCATGGTGGACTCTGTGATGGTCGTAAGGTATATAATTAGCTAACTGACCCTTTGTAGGACAAGTGCAGAGGGTATCTGCCCGAATGGCGGAGGAGGTCCATTTGTATGGGAAGTATACGGTGGGGGACCGGATGTCACAAGATCGGGGCTGGCTGGAAGAGGCCGTCTGACAATCGGAACATGGGGGAGGGGACCACATCCAATGACCAACAGCAACGCGGGAGGGGGGAAAAGTAAAAGAAACAGAAAAAGACTCACCCCTCTGCAGAGAGCCGGCGGGTAGGACTGCCCTGGAGGAGAAATGGCGCGGGCCGTTCTGATGGCACGACAGCCAGGCACCATTCGGCCGGGAAACAGCGCATCGCAGCGGAGTTGCCCGCAGTTGAGAGGCGAGCTTAATTTGCCAGGTCATTATGTCGGCACTCTTGCTCGAATACGTCGGCCAATTGCACGATCAATCCTTCTCCACCGTGGGGGCTAGCGGGGGAGACGTCGCAACAGGGTGCTCCTTGAAGCAAAGAAAAAGGCAAGCCCGTCTGATAGGCCGACAATGCGAAGAAAGAATGCCTGATCGTGGGCCGGAAAGCAGATCCCAGACGGAGAAAAAAAGCAGAAATCCACGAGGGAAATCCCACGGGGCGGTGAGCAGATGACTCAGCTTGTTCCCCCCACTGGGTCAGGAACGGTTCCTTTCCTTTTATGGGCAGGGCATTGTCAGAAAGGGGACGATCGAGTCGATTGTATGCATTGATATCTGATCTGTCGACCGGTAAATGTGTACAGATGGGCGTCGCACTGTGTACGCTGTGGTGGCTTGAGACTAGCCGGCTGAGGACTGCGTTACACCCATGTCTGCTATGGTTGGGCCAATGAAGGCCAGTCATCCCCATGATCCCACACGCTCTCCGGAGCCTCCCGAACTTCGGCTCGGGTACGGAGTATCTACTGTTTACTAGAAAGATAGGCTCTACGACTTGCCTGGTTCTAGTCTACCATATGTCGGTGGGAATAGCTTTGGTCCACTCCCCACAATTGGCCAAATTTCCTTGAGGTCATGTTGTCTTCAGGTCATTATATGTATGATACAGCAGCCTCACGTGTCTGGACGCTCGCAGTGTCAATGGTCAACGGTGTCAAAAGATGTATAAATCACTGAGTCTCTCATCTAGCGAGTCATAAACCATGTGCGGTGAGTCAAGATCAGACCACTCCGTCCCTGGCAGAACCCCTTCTAGCTCCGTTCGCTTCCTCGCAACCGCACGGCTTGTCCGTACTTTTGCAGTTTCGTAATCAGGGCATCGCCGTGCTTCACAACATCCGCGTACTGCTTGTTCTTGTCGTCTGATCGGTTCGTCTCAATAATGCCATTGACCCGATCGATGGTGCATGCGATCCGGTTGCTGGCAATGAATTTGGCAAGATCCCTGTAGCTGTCAGTCAACACATTTCTAACCGATAATGGTCCAATGGCGGACTTACCGATCCAGATAGTCTACGGTGACGCCAAAGTCGTTGGCCATGCTGTTCAGGCCAACCACGCGATAGCTCTGCAGCAGTTGCTGGTACGCACGAAGTCTCATCTCGCGCACAAACCACGCGCGGTGTTCGTGCAAGTAACGGTCCTGGTTCAGGAAGTTGTCCTCCACGGCTGCCAGCGCTACGAAGAAATTCCGGTAGTTGCCGGTGTACAGGCTGTCTACCAGGTTTGCAAGAGGCGAAAAGTCCACGGGCGCTTCGGCTTCAGACTGGATGCCAGATCCCGCTCCCAGAGTAGTGAGGTTAACCACAGTGGTAGCCGTGGTCGGTGCCGCTCTGGTGACAGTAGCATCCTTCATCTCCTCATCCTGGGCACCTGGCCCGGAGGATATCTCGCCGGTCAGAGCAGCTAGGCGGTCCTCTCCAGGTCCGAGAATGGCCTTGATCTCGGGTGCATCCACAACCTTGGCCTTGAAGTCGACTCGCTTCAGGGATAATGAGCCCGCAAGGATCGAATAGATGACCAGGGACGAGTAGCTGCACAGTTCGTAGCTGGTGAAGGTCGATAGACTGTCCAGGAGCAGAGGGGCAGCAAGACTGTAAGAACGGATGGTGAGTAGATGTAGGCCCTTGTATGCCTTGAGGCGGTTTCTCCGGTCCCAGTCTCCTCCACTTTCAATGAGAGTATTTGCCCGCTCAATGCTCTTCTTGACAGAATGGGTATCCCCGAAGAAAAGGCCAATCCGGATTATGGCCAACATCAGGTCGATCTTGGTTCCGAGGAATGTCGTCTTCTCAAGGAGGGCCTCGTGGGATTCGATAGCTTTGTCCTGCCAGCCACGAACTGAGGTTAGCAAATCAACCATCATGCGGAGCTTATCTCGGATAGACTCCTAGCTGAAGCTTCTCAAGAC